TGTTGCCATCATCATTTCCAAGACATTTTCTGCTGAGCCCTTGATATAGGCTTTTTTCTCCCTCCCTCCCCCATCTTCCGTATCTTACACTGTCCTTTGTCTCCCTCCCTCCCCCATCTTCCGTATCTTACACTGTCCTTTGTCTCCCTCCACCCACATTTCCGTTATTCGTCCCCTTCTTGGGGTGGGGGCTGTAGATCCAATCTTGTGATGGGTTTCCCTTTTCTCACCCTTACTCCTCCCTGACCATCCCCCTATTCCCATTACTATTCCTGAGGGGTTTATCTTTCCTGAATTCCATGTGTCGAGAGAGCTCTTATCTGTACCAATGTGCGTTCTACAGTCTTGCCAGATTTGTAAGTTAGAACTGGGTCGTGAGAGTGGGGAGAAGGAAGTATTTAGGAACTAGAGGAATGATGAGTTAAATCATCCCATCCTTATACCACTTCTTTGGGGGGATATCCAGTTATCTATAGAGGGTCTTTGGGTCTCCACTCAAATCCCCTTCTTTCGCATCGATATAGTTATTTGGATCTTTTGATACCTGTTGCCTGTTCCCGTCGACACCTCATGGTCACCCAGGCTGGTGTGCTTCTTCCATGTGGGCTTATTTGCTTCCCTGCTAGATATCCGCTTGTTTGACTTCAAGCCTTTAAGACCCCAGATACTGTATTTTTTGATAGCTGGGCACCATTTTCACCACATTTGCTTATGCACCCATTTTGTCTTCAGAGGTTGTGTCCAAAAGGTGAGTATCGCAGAGTGCCAGGTTATCAGAACCAAGTGTTCTTGTGTAAAGGGAGGCATGGAGTAGAGGCCCCAAGTCCATCTACTATCTTAATACCTATCATATAAATATATGTACATTGGCCTCTATCCCTTTCATTGTAAATTAATATATTTACATATACACATGCCTGTAGCTATACCTCTAAAATAGCTTTTGGCTCCTATTTCTTTCCTCTATTTCCTTTCACCTTCCTCCTTTCCCACTATCATGCTCACCCTCTGTTCGGCTCTCAGAATTTCCTCTCAGATACATTGCTCTTAATCAAGCCCTAACCCGCATTATATGCCCTCCTCACCATCAATTTTAGATCTCTGTTGTTCCCTTATCTCTGAGTTTGTTGGCTCCCCGCTCCCTCTCCCCTTCCCCTCCGCTCTCATGTCTCCCCAGGACTGCCTGTTCTGTAGTTTTCTCCTCAAGATTGTTCATCCTGCCTATCTTATGTAGGTAGACATGGGGCAAAAGAAAGAGAGAAACAAAAACCAAAACATAATAAAACAACCAGACAAAACAAAGCAGAACAGGAGAAAGAATCCAGTAGATAGTTCCAGGTCTGTCTGCTGACCTTTATCTATGATTTCTGGTCAAGTCTGACGTGTCCCCCAAGTCAGAAGTCAATTTATAAATTATTTTAATTTTAGGTTTTTTTCTTAAAATCAAGCAAGACCTGACAATATTTGAACAAATCTTGTAGTGCATTGGATCAATGATTGAAGTGCCAGAGGGACACTTCATGCACGAGGTCCACAGTGGCTGCACAGTGATCTCGAACAAACAATTGTGAAGGTGGGATAGGACTGGACAGTGTTTTGTTCTGTTGTATGTCAGTCCCTGTGAGTTGGATAGACTCAATGGCACCTACCAACACAACAAAAAGGGGACACTAGCTCAAAAAATGTCACGTTAAACCCATGTGTTATGTTAGGTTTGCCAGAAGGGTTTGGGTGGTTTTTGTGCCCATCAGGAAATACTGAAAACGAGCTCCTTGAGCACTCCATGAAAGTGCACACGTTCCTCCCACGGGTATAATTTGCTTAGGAGTTCTTCGGTTGCTTGCATATCACTGGTGTCTGAATACAGATAGGTTTCTACCTAATATTATTTGTAAATGATACTAGAATATATTCGTACTTATTGCTTGGATCTATCTGTCATTTTAGCAGAGGCCAATGGATCTACGATATTGTCCTGATGGGATAACCAAGGTTTGCCAGGAGTATTTTGTTGACACTAGGACAGGTTTTATTTACATAATTGGCAGCCTTCCGAAATGGCTCCAAAGTAGTACATGAAATCCATGTTTTTCTCACCTCATTTGCATGGATTGATGAATAGGAAACTGGGGTTTGTAAGTTTTTGGTTAAGACTGGAAGTTTTTTAGTTCCTTGTAAGGTTTTTCTTTTTGATCTACTTGGCATTGTTCATGTTTCCATCTTTCCTATTTTTGATCAGCTTCAGTTCTGCTCTCTTACAGTGAATACATTGTAATTGGTGTTCGTTGATCAAAAAATTTTGGATAATATGGTAGTTTTAGTATGTAAAAACATTTAATATCCTCATTTTGGCCTCTAATCTGTATTGTCCCTAGTCTCGGTAGTGGGCTCAGTCATCACCATGTGACAATTGACTGCTTTAAACCTACCCCAAAATTTCTGCTGTAAAAGAGCTAGGACGTCCTCGTTGTCCACCAGGGGTAAGAATGACATGGGATGGCCCGCCTAGCCTAAGACTTCACAAGAGGGGAGGAAAAACCAACTTCATCAGCCAAAGACTTATTCCTTTGAGGTGGAAGTCAATATTGCCTTTACTCTCTATCCTTTACCAATTCTGCCACAAACTATCCTTTCCAAGGCCCTTTCTACTTCTATGCTGGATTTGAAAATTCATTGCAGTGCCCACACATTATTCATAGACTATACTTATAACTGTCGGGCTCATTAGGGAAGTTAACAGGTTATAATTTTAAAGATCAGAACTACTCTGAATAAGGTTCTTCCAGATAAGAACACCTCTTCTCAGCTGTACCATATAGGTATGCCTCTCTGATCCTAGGCTTCTTACCCACTCAACCGTTGCCCTGCTCAAGCATTGCTATAGTTCCTTTAGCTCTGCTGACAGATGCACGCAGAGCACACCACTCTGCTGTAAGTCTCAGACTGAAGGCTCTTAACCACAGCTCCATGGGTCAGCATGCAGAACTCATAAGTAAGTGTCTTTCGGAGGCTTCCTACTCCACAAGTGAGCCTCTTGCCTAAAGGCACTTAACGTGCTTACTGGGCCCGAAAACTCTTGTCTTGAGCTTTCAAGTTCTTCGTTCTGCATCTGCCACTTATCTACCACTTCGCACAAGTATCTGTGGGTCCAAAGGGAACATTTCACTCCTGCCTCTTTATTGATAGACATGAGAGTCCCCTCTTCCAGTCTTAGATGGCTCATTTTGTAACCACTCAATGACAAAACTGACCAAATCCCACATTAGCATCCCACAAATATTTATTTGCATGGCTAATCCACCAGCTGCTCCATGGGAGAAAGATGAGGTTTTATATTCACCTAAAGAATTACAGTTTGTGTGTGTGACCTCCTCCTTGGGGTACAGACAACTGAAAAGTGGGTGAAGGGAGACGTCGGACAGGGCAAGATATGACAAAATACCAATTTATAAACTATCAAGGGCTCATGAGGGAGGGGGGAGCGGGGAGGGAGGGGAAAAATGAGTACCTAATGTCGGGGGTTTAAGTGGAGAGAAAATGTTTTGAGAATGATGTACAAATGCGCTTTACACAATTGATGTGTGTATGGATTGGGATAACAGTTGTATGAGCCCCTAATAAAATGTTTTTAAAAAAAAAGAATTACAGTTTGCCCAGGCAACACCTGCCAAGTTCTCATGAACTAATATATCACCCCTTTATTTGTACATTTTAAGTACTACTTTGACAGGGGAGGCCTCACCACATTGGGTCACTTTCCTCTGATGGGGGGAGAGGGAGAAGACCCATCATAATTAATTCCTGCCAAATAGCATTGTTCTTTGGTAACCCAAATCAGTACATACCCCTGTAAGAGTGATTAGTGAATCTTACTAGAAATCAAAGTCACAAAGTAGGGTGAAGGGGGCATGATTGGCTCAGAGAAGTAGACAACACTTATGTTAGTGGGTAAACAGGAAACCTGCCATGGGAAAAATGCTCAATATCCCCAATGGGAAAATAAGCCAGCGTGGTATCATGTTCCCAATTGGGCATTTTTGGCCTAGTTTCTATTTAATTCTTGGTCCAGGCCATTTATTATAGCCAAGCAAGATTTTGGACTACTGGTTTGAGGTACACAGCATCCTTCATAGAACACAGCAGAGCAATCTGACTTGAAACTCCCACCAAGGGAACGGACTCTACTTTAAACACACCTGTAGCAGATTAAAGGAACTAAAATACTCCTTTGAGGTTATGTCTGAGACAGTGTGAAAAGAGTCAGAACTACTCTCCCAAGTCTGTGGATTTGGAAGTCATTGGACTATGGTTCAAAATTCTTGCATTGAGGGTGCCTAGTAAATGGCAAGTCAAGACTGCCAAATTTGTTGTTTTCAAACTCTTTCTGCCTTTTTATGACATATTTTAGTCCAATAGGTATAGTTTTGCCCTCAGAATGAGAATTATCAAAAAGTTTTGCTCTCTCTTCAACCCTCACTGTTTGGGTATATAGTGTCCATCCACTTAAGTTGGTAAACTGTACAGATCAATCCATGTATTTTAGTCTAAAAAACTGTCATATACATGTATACTTTACTTTTCTAAACAATGTTTTAAATTCTATTCCATTGACTAAAATCAATGATAATGTCAATAGAATTGCCATATAACCCATGGGAATGACTCAGAATGTTCTTTAATAAAGTAATATGTGAGTAGATTTTGAGCTTGCACTCAATCATTTAAGAACAATTAGTTCTTAAGACATGGCCCTGCTCACCACTTGCCCTCATGAAGAGATCATTGAAGATATGCGTTCTGTAGAAAAGTGTGGTGAAGAAAAGCAGATAGTACTTGGCTATCTGAAAGAATAGCACCTGGGGTCTTAAAGGCTTGTCTTAAAACAAGTAGTCATCTATGTGAAGTATTAACTAAGTCTACAAAGAAGAAGTACACTAGCCTGTGTTGTCATCTAAGCATTATAAATAAAATCCAAATCTAGAGGAGGGAATAATATTAGAGCTTAAATTTCTAGCAGCCAATTTGCAGAAGGCTGTGAGTAACAATGAAAACCCCCAATCCCAAGTGCATGAAACCAAAGGTGAATCCACTATGACTATGGACCAGGGGTGTGAATGGCTTTGTTTTCAGACAGAGTGCATTGTGGTTACTGCAGTTGTAGTTAGGTTAAAATGTGCTATCTTGTTATTTGATCTCCCTTTTGGTCCAATGTATATTTGTTCCCATTATTAATATTTTTTTGCTTTCTTTTTGATTCAGGTCTTTCCTGTTTTCGTCTCGTTTTGTTTTTTTCTCTGTATGAAATCCAGGCTAGGTAAATCTAGAGACAACAACCTGACTAATAGCTTCCCAGGAGCCTGGTGGTTACATGTTGAGCTGCTAACCACAAAGTCAGTTACACCACCAATTTCTCCTTGGGAGGAAGATGATGCTTTCTACTCCTGTAAAGAGTTACAGTCTTGGAAACCCTGTCCTATAGGGTAGCTATGTGTTGGAATTGACTTGATGGCACTTTTTTTTTTAAGAGGCATGACGGGAAGTAATGAGGAGCTAACAACAAGTACAAGAGAAAAATGTCTTAAGATTTACTGTCGTGATGATTACACAATTCTCTTGACTCTGATCTCGTTATTGAAAAGCTGTTTGGTGCCGTGGAATCATTTCATACTCAAAGCAGCCCTATGCACTAATGAATGGATTTTTGCCCTTTCCTGTGCCATTATCACAATTGTTCTGATGCCTGAAGCCATTGCCGCAACCACTGTGTTAGCCCATCTCCTCTTTACCACTGCCCCACCACCTTACCAAGCATGAAAACATTATCCAGGGGCTAGTCTCCTGGCAATATTTCCATAGTACGTAAGATGAAGTTACACAATCCTTGCCTCTAAGGAGCACTCCAGTCATACTTTTTCCAGGACAGACTTCCTTGCCCTTTTGACAACGTATGGTATTTCAATATGCTCCCCTAGAACCACAGTTGAAATGCATTGGTTCTTGTCTTCCTTTTTCAATGTTCAGCTTTCAAATGCATATGAAGCAATTGAAAATACCATGG